TGCTGAAAAGAGGCAAACTTGTTGAACTTTCTGCTAAAAGAGATGAAGAAACTGAAAATTCTGCTGAAAAGAGGTGAAGAAGCAGAACTTTCTACAGAAAAGGGGAAATGAGCAGAACTTTGCACTGAAAAGAGGTAACGAAGCTGTAGTTTCTGCTAAAAAAACAGCTGAAGAATCTGGAATTTTTGCTGAAAAGGGGTCAAAAAACTGAAAATTCTGCTGACAAGGGGTGAAGAAGCTGAAATTTGTGTTGAAAAGAATTTAAAAGGCTCTGCTCATCTCACTGAAAAAAAAACCCTTAATATTTCAAAAAGTATAAAAGTAATGAGCACCAAAATAGCAGGCATTAGCAGAAGGGGCAGAACAGTTTAAAGTTTGAATGGTGAAAATCAGATGAAAACTGAGGGAGTAGTTAACCAGCAAAGGTCTGAGCAACTAGAATAAGGTAGAAGAAAGAATAAAGAGAAACAGGAAATCAATAGTGTGAATGCCTCTGAGGCATTTATTTATTTAGTTCCAAGTTTAATTAATTAATGACTCTTTTTATTAATTAATGTTGTATTTAATCTATTCATTTTGTCACTCCTGGCCTTCCGCAGTTGGTTCTTGTTTCATCAACTTTCTTGGGGTTTTAAATAAACAGCTAATCAGTGTAACAAAGTAAATCTTACAGTTATAGTATACACCCTTTCATTCCAGTTAATGAGTTAAATGTATTTTAATAGTTTTAAACTTCCTTTCATTTCAACTTTTGTCCAATTTGGTTGTTTCTTAAACAGGGCTCCCTGAGTTCAGAGGCAGAGTTGTCTCAGTACTTCCCGCAGGAACTTTCCAGCCACTCATTCCCACCTGAATCCATGTTGATGGGCTCAGATACTGATGATGTCCTCCACCAGATGAGCTGCATTACCTCCAAGGATGACTGCTCATCAAAACCACATGGTAAAATGTTACTGATTAAATCCCAGGAAGACGTTTTAGGAATATTTCACAGATTTAACTTTAAAGTTTGCTTCCACCATGCTTGACATGTGAACAGTAGTTGATGAAATGAGAACTTTACTGACCTCTAAACAACATGACTGAAGTATTAAAAGGTTAACATAACTATTAGGAGTTACCAGTGATCACATTACCTGTGGCTGTTGCCATTAATACAGTGGCTAGAAGCTAAGGCTAATAATAAAATGATAATATCCACTAGGAACTAGACAGGAACAATGGGATCCTACCTTCTAACTCTATTTGATCTGCAACAAACATAAACATGTGCTGGATTGTATCAGTGGCATCATTACAAAGCCTTCACCTGGGGCCTTGCCTGGTGTAATAGACCCCCTGCTGCCATGATTAGTACCTCAGTGATGTCTTTAAGTCCAGCGTTGTCCAGCCACTGGTTGGATTTCTGGATGTCAGGCACTTCTTCTATCTGCCGATGGTACCTACCATACGGGGCTTGCCTGCCGTGATGGTTCCTACTCTTGCTCCTCTCCTTTCTGGAGTTTCTGCTCCCTGAGGTATTCACTGAGTGCATGGTCAGTAGTGGCCACCATCCTGATGTACTCATGGATGTTTGTTGTTGGGGCATCCAAGAGGAAAGGGCCTCAAGCCCCGCCCCCACACATGCCACTGACCATTTATGAGATTTTTTTTAGAGACCAAGCATTTATCATCTCTCTTTAAAAAATTACACAGCATCCAGTTTTGTAAAAATTAGCTGTAAGTTCATCTTTATTTTCAGGATTCAGCCCACCTCTGACAGAAGTGGAAGACGGCCGTGTGTACAACAACATCCAAGACCAAACCTCTGCACCTCTCAGTCACCGTGTGGAGGCCGTGTGCCAGCCCATCACGTGGTCCAGCCCCCCCACAGCACGCAGCCCACTCCTCTGCCAGGTGAAGTGCTTCGAGGATGACCTCAGCAGAAAAATCGAGCCCTTCCACAGACCCACAAAATCTGAAGCCTTTACCTGCAGTGACGTGTCACAGAGTGATTCAGCAGGTGTATGTAGCAGCTCGGTGTTAGACGGTGAAGTTGGTGGAGATTTGCAGAGTGCAGGCAGAGATATACCCACAGCACTCTGTGACAGTTCCACTCAAAGTGAGGATGGTTTTCCCAATAAGGCAGAGTCACCTGGTTGTGAGTTAACCTTCATGTTCATTCACCAGCCTTTAGATCACACAGCAGGGGTGTCGAGCAGCGTGGGCTCTGTGCTCACTGATATGACCATCAGCAGTGAGGACTGTCTGAATCAAAGTCATGGACAGTTGGAGTCAAAGCAGTCCCCCAAGCTTGAAGCAGTGAACAGGGTCATGATGAGCACTGAAGCACCAAACCTACCCCAGCAGCAAACATCCCAAACGGATGAACCCGCCCTGGCCTTGGCCCCATTCCAGCTCCCATCCCACAGCACAGGAACAAACCCCACGGTGGCTGCCGACATGCTCCCCAGTCAGCTATATGAGGAGGAAGATGCCAGTGAGTTTGCAGGGATTTGTCCCATTAACACTGTGATCCTAAGAAGGAACGACGGGAATTCATTTGGGCTTGAACTGGAGATAATGTCATCACCACTGAAGCTGGTGATCGCTGGGGTGGAGCCTGGAGGTGCAGCAGAAAGGGTACGTGGGATTGCTTTCCACCCTACACCAGTGGGATGGGGGTGGGGGGTTCCCCCAAAAAACAAAATAAATTCAACAACAGTTTTTGGCAACAAACTGCAAAAAAAATGATGGCTGTAGCAAAGATGATACAAATTCAAATATATGCAAAGTTTTCTATGCACACTGAATATGAACAAGAATATTTGAATTTTCTGGTGATTCTTTAAAGGATCAAATGATTTAAGATATTAAAAATATTCCATGTAAAGGCTGAGCTTGTTTCTCTAACTGTGGTCCCAGGAGTCTGCGGGCAGGCTGCGTCCTGGAGATGAGATCGTCAAGATTGGAGATAAACTAGTTTGCTCCTCCAGCTACCAGGACATCTGTGAACTCATGCACAGCCTTCCTCTGACACTGGCCTTGGACATCAGGAGACCGATCTCAGGTAAGACGCTCACAGTGTGACTTTATTCTAAAGCTGAATAGATGAAAATGAGCAGCTCACCTGCTTCAAGAAATTACAGCCTGATGCTGTCAGGGAGAAGATGCTGAAAGCACTGTGAAATAGGCACAGGGGACTCAGATGTGAAAGTTACTCCAGTCTGCACGCAATAATTTGAAGCTAGCAGGTTGTTAATGCTATCCATCAAGTTTAACAGTCTATGAACTAACGTCAGCTAACAATGTTAGCTAAAATCACAGCAATGTTACATCGAAGCTACTGAAGTGGCACATAGCCTAGGTAGCTACCACAACTAAAATAAGATATTTGCAGTAGGCTAACGTTAGTTTTTAAAAATAACAAGTTTTTGGCGAGGAGAGCATCTTCTTTGCTGGCAAACAGAGTTTGCATTGTTAAATTTTAAGTTTAAAGTTTAAATTTAGCCCATCCCTTTCTTCTTTGAATATGAAATGGTGTTGGAACTTCCGAGTCCGAAACGTGCACTGCTGACTCTGTTGCGCTGGCTCCGGGTCCATCGTGTGATTGACGCCACCAACAGGACGCTTTTTTTTTTTACAGCCTCTTCTCGCGTGTTTTGTTTGGGTTTCCAGCCGCAATGCGCAGCGTGGAATGACCAGAATTACAGAGGACCGCCATGTAATCCATTTATAACAAAGTAACTGTATTCTAATTACCACCCTTTTAAACAGTAACTGTAATGGAATACAGTTACTCATATTTTGTATTTTAAATACGTAATGGCGGTACATGTACTCTGTTACTCCCCAACACTAATCGGAGGGTTGGTGGTTCAATCCCTGCTGAATATATTGGACGGGATACTAAATCCAACTTGCTGTCTGATGCATCCATCGGAGTGTGAATGTCTCTGAATGTTAGATAGAAAGCAGTTAAATAGAAAAAGTTTTTGTGTGAATGGATGAAAGTTGTGTAAAGCTTTGAGAAAATAGAAAAGCTCCATTTAAAAACCGTATGTATGGACTGCCCAGCTGATTGGCCAATGTCAGACGAGAGTAAAAACAAACTTTGGCTACTCAGAGCTTTAGACTCTTCCTTCCACCCAGCCCTTTCTACTTTTCCTCAGTGCAGTAATAATATGTTTATAGCTGCTGTGGTCTGCGTCTCATCACACAGTTGTTGTCTTTGCATTGGGGAAGAAGCACTAACAATATACAGGCTGGATTCCTGAGTAGATGCTCAGCTACACTAAGCAGCTTGTAAATGGAGCTGAACACTTCTGTCACGCTACACTGCTCGCTCACTTTCTGCAGCTTACAGTCAAACGTCCAGCTGCTGGGAGGAAAACTGTCTCCACTTAATGGTTACGACATGATTAAATCATATATTTGTGTGTCTTTGAATGTGCGCTTACACTGCTGTGTAGTGCTGTTTCTAAGCCACCAGGTAGCGTCACTCTTTAAGCTTTCACATAGACTGCCGTGTGTTTTCCTTTAATGCTGACCTCAGATGTAGGATCAGCATCGCTCTCTCCTCCCCAAAGCAACCTGCACGCCTCTGACTCTCTGTTCACGGTGACTAACCTTTATGTTTCACTTTTAATGACCAATATTAGATTTGCCCTGTAGCTTCACACTAGGTGTAGTGTAACATTAATCTTTATGTAACACAGAGATTGCTGTGGGGCATTAAAACGGGGAGTCTTTCCACATGTCTGTTTTAAAGCCATCATGTCTCTCTGAGTAAACATGATCATAGATCAACATTACTGATAAGCAGGCGACGGATAAAGGAGGAAAAGTCACTTCCTCTGATGATAACCTGTCCATATACGCTGCTCCTGACAGTTTCAGTTCTGTAACTGGTAAACAGAGACTTCACATCTTTGCATGTTAGACACTAAAGTGCAAACATGTGTAATACAAGAGAGAGCAGTCGATCATGTGACTTCCTGGATCAGCCACAGCAATGTCCTGCAGTTTACCAGCTGAGTATACATCTGTGTAGCTTTAGTCTTTCCTTGTGAGATTGTAGATTATAATATAATGCAACACTTTTGATGCATATCACTGTGTAGTATGTAATAGTATTGTTCAGTGTGGCTGTATGCCTTCCCTCTGTATGTTAGGAGTCAGCAGTTCACAGCAATGACTGTATCAAATATAACAAAGTTGACACAGTCATTGGTTCAAATCAGAGAGAAATCCATTCGGGTTAATTTCACGCCACTAACATGAGAAAAGGTCTTTAATCACTTCACCTTCATGACGGCGCCTCACCTCTCCTGCAACAGGCTGAATTACATAGATACATGTTATATAGCCTCTGTCAGTGCGCCCCAGGGTGGCTGTGGCTACAATGTAGCTTGCCATCACCAGTGTGTGAATGTGTGTGTGAATGGGTGGATGACTGGATATGTAAAGCGCTTTGGGGTCCTTAGGGACTAGTAAAGCGCTATATAAATACAGGCCATTTACCATTTACCATATAGTGGTGCAACGGATCACGGTTGATCCGTAATCCGAACCAATCCCACTCCACGGTTCGGCACGCACGTGGGCTGAAGATTTGAAAACGAAGAAAAAAAAGTATGTGTATGGTGGCGTGGTGGGTCTGTCAAGCGGTAGCTATGGCCCGCGGTAGCTATGGCCCGCGCTACCGGTCCAAGTGGAGGAGCAGAGGAGTATTTAAGCAGCCCTTTGCTGCCCAGCCTGACCGGGCTAACGCTATTACAGAAGCTACTGCGGTGTTTAGCTGCAGACGGGAGGCCGTATTCTGTTGTGCAAAACAAGGAGTTTAAACTATGATGAATGTGCTTGAGCCACGCTATGATATCCTGTTGCGCGTCCACTTCAGTGGCAAGATCGTTCCAAGCATGTATGAGCAGGAGAAGTTTAAAGTTATGGCTGAACTGTCACAGGCATCTTCTGTTGCTCTAACTACAAACGGGTGGAGCTGCAGGGCAACGGAAAGCTACGTGACCGTGCTCATTATATCACAGCAGAGTGCGATATGATGAGCGGTGTGTATTATTGTAGGGTCTACCTTACAATATAAAGCACCTTGAGGCGACTGTTGTTGTGATTTGGCGCTTTATAAATAACACTGAATTGAATTGAGTGGTAGATACAAAGACTGTACTGCCCTATATTGTACCATAATTTTTTTTTAATAACTGCGTGGAGTCTTGAATGTTTTTAACAGGCAAAAAATACTTCAATAAGTAAATGTTCAATTTTTGTCTTTTTTCTTTTTTTGCTGATCCGAAAATTGATCCGAACTGTGAGATTTTTGATCCGTTGCACCACTAATATGTACACATATATAATTAAACTTACACATCAAATTATATGATATAAATTACAATTCATTGGTTTCATATTTAAAAAAATATGTAATGTAAATTATTCGTTGTTACCAACCTCCTCTCATTCGATCCTGATCTTTTCATGTCTTGTGCCAGCTGTAGATCGACTGCTCAGCCTGGGAGGGACTGTGTGGTCACAGAGCAGTGATGGATCCACAGTGGATCCAGTTCAGGGGGGGACTGATCAAGTAATAAGAACACATTTAGGAAAAGCCACAATCCAACCAGACTGTAACTTGCCCATCGTCAATGTAGACGACGTGTTATCAGATGTGAGCCACGACACCAGTGAGGAAATATCCTGTAATGAGCCTGAAACCTGCCGTCCAGGCCAACATGGTGCAGCCCTGTGTGAGAAGCCTCCTTTGGAAGCCAGAGAGGAAAAGGGTGCCGCCTTTCTGATGAATAAATGTGTGAACCAACAGAAAGAAGGCAGCTCTGCAGTTTTCAGCGGATCAGGTCCAGAAAAATCAAACCCTAGTTGTAAACACATGGATCCCACTGCAGATGTCAGTGGTTCAAACAGTGACTGCAGTGCAGTGGTAAAGAACATGGCAGATGGTATCGGTGGTGTCTCTTCTACACGGTCACCATGCCAGTTTCTTAACAGTACAGTACCTGTTTCTGCTACAGAGCCACACGTTGACCCAGTCTGTGCAGCATCCAGACACACAAGTGTTTACAGGAACCATGCTCCACCAGCAGCCCACTCTGTCACTGAAAATCTGCATGCAGACGTCTCCCAAAGATCAGATTTACTGAGGCGTGACGACACACAAACATATTCAGTGGAATCCAACCCCTCAGGCTCCAGGCTGTCCACAATGTCAGTGAGCAACAATCAGAAAGTCGTGCAGTGTAAAGATGCGTTAAAGCCTGATGCTCGCTCCTTACCTAAGACAAGCTCAAAGCTGAAGCACCTCGGTTACTCAGACAGTCCTGTGTGGAGGAGTAACTTCAGACTTCAGGTTGAAAGTGGTCCTTCCACACTTAAAGGTTTGAGTGTTAAAAAGAAGAACAGCCCAGAAGAGCCCCTTCAAAAACTGTTGGGGGGTGCAAGTCCAGTCCCTGCAGATACAAAGGCTTCCTTCAGACAGCCAACAAATCCACCAGCTGTGGTAACCACTGGGATTTTGAAGCCCACCAACCAGCCTGATGTCAGGAGTTGCCTAGCTGTGGCCGGAGCAGGTGACACAAAGCAAATAATGGCTGAGCATGGAAATTCAGAGGGAGCTTTGCAAACTGTGCAGCTGCCCAAAAAAGACATGCACGTAGGTTACGAAGCAAAAGCTGAATCACATGGACCTGCCACCCAGAGGACATTCATGGAAGTGCGGCTGTCTTCCTCATCATCATCATCAGCAACAGCAGCAGCATCATCATCATCATCATCAGCAGCAGCAGCAGCAGCAGCAGCTGCGTCACATAGAGACAAAAAGGTTTCAAAAGAAAATAAACGCAGAAATGATACAGATGCACGATTAGCAGCAACGCATTCATCCACTGTCACCACAGAAGAAAGAACAGCTGCCTCGATCACCAACACAGCATTTCATTCACTGTCTTCTACAGCAGCTCATTCAACAAGTAGAGGTTTCAAACCTGTGACAGTTATGGAGACAGAAGAGACAGCGAAGTCCAGCACATCCAGACTGTCCACACAGACCCTGTCCACACAGGCCCTGTCCACACAGGCCCTGTCCACACAGACCCTGTCCACACAG